TAGTTTGGTACGTGAGTTCTCTCTCTCTCTCTCTCTCTCTCTCTCTCTCTCTCTCTCTCTTTCTCTTTCTCTTTCTCTCTGGGTTGACTGGATTTTCGTTCTTCATACTAGTGACATTGGTATTGGATAACCTGGAAAGATCTTGCCTTTATCTCTCTATACTTCAAACACCGGATCATAGACTTGATATTAATTATCTTGTGCTTTATTTGCTGTTACAATGATATTACACCGTCTTCCTCTCTCTAGACTCTGTGCTATTTAGCTACTAGATATGTACAAATAGTTTTCCTTTTATGTCTGTATTTGGGTTGGTATATGAGATATTTGACGTGAAGATACTTGAAGAGATCTCCATAACTCTTGTTTAGTGGACCATGAATGTGTATACAACAATAGCCTGTGTGTGTGCTTCATTTATGAGATGGGTTCTCTGTGTATTTTAGGTTTATGTTATATTTAAAGAGCTTGGCTGGAAAGTTATTTCTTTCCTCTCTGCAGGCTCTTTTCAATGGATTATGAGGTTATGAAATCTTTTGCTTGCCTGTTTTGTTTGAATGGATTCTCTCATGTCTGGGTTTATAAGAATTTTGTAGTGTGAGATCAATTGCTGTGTCTTGTAATAGCAAAGCCTTTACTATGTGGTTTTTTTGGCGCTCTGCGTTAACTTTTTAAATAGTTAGAATGATGTGTTCTGCTATTGCAGTTTTGGTTCCACTCTTAGTCGTGTTGCTCGTCCACGGATGCGATGGAAGGCCTTTATACCCACTTCCAAGCCATTTAAAAGATACAAATCGGCGACTCCTTCAAACTTTTAGGCCATATAATGTTGCTCATCGAGGTTCAAATGGGGAACTTCCTGAAGAGACATCCCCTGCATATATGGTAAGTTCTACAATTTTCTTGTTCTTCCTTGAAATCTTTGGTTCACTTTAGTTTTTTTATTCTTTGGAACCATTTGCCAAAAATCATTGAATTATTTGGCATTGGGGATTCTGGTCTTCCTTCCAATTCTCTGACTTGTGATTATCATTATTCAATCTCATCTTCTAAACGCTCCCTGACTTCTTAGATTGGGCTTCGCATCATTCCTTTCATCTCTTTAAATATCGAACCTCTACAGTTCCTTGATTTCCTCAGAATTAGGCTTCTCTTTTCCTTAGTCCTCTAAAATTTCATACTCACACAATCCATAAAAATCTAAAAAGACCTTACCCTCTGTTTGCTTTTTGTAGAGAGCTATTGAAGAGGGTGCTGATTTTATAGAAACTGACATTCTTGCCACTAAAGATGGGGCACTCATATGTTTCCATGATGTGTGCCTTAATGATGTTACTGATGTTGCCAAGCACAAGGAGTTTGCCAACCGCAAAAGAACCTATGAAGTCCAAGGGGAGAATATCACTGGATGGTTCACTGGTGAGCTCAGTCCAAAGCTTACAGAATTGCTCTTGAACCCAAAAAAAATCTAGGCAAAACTGTGACTATCAAGGAAAGGAAAAGAAATGCTTTGGCTGTAAACATGTAAACATGATGCTCTTTCATATATGAACTCTATTTCATGTTTTCTTAAGGCTTTAGGACCATTTTTGGTTCACTAATTCAAACTCAGTTTCTGGTATAGAGAGTCCATTATATCTCTGTGCTTGAATCTTCATATACATATCCCACGTTGTCATCTGAAGTTCTTATTAATCTGTGCTGCTATAATTAATTGCTATTTTTGTAAAGAAACCTTTATACCTGCATTCCTTTTAATCATTGTAACCTCTTTCATAGTTTCTATAAGATTTAGTTTTGTACAAACAATGTGAAAATATGAAGCTCTCTACTCTCATGGAATGCATACTATGACACTCTCAATTATGGAAAGTCATGATGCATTGGGGTCATCTATGTCCAATGAAATTGATGGTGATGAGAGGCGAGTGGAAGCCAGGATTGGGATCGTTACCTGTTCTCGTGCAGTGATGATAGAATGGGAGCCACCATGGGGTCATGTTCTATTTTGGTGGGCCCCACTTTCTTTATCACCATACTTCATTTTATTGGATGGTGATGATGACACCTATGGACATTGTCATTTAACAAATGGTATTGCATCATACGTAGTATGTTTTATCCTATATAGAAGCATGATATCTCTGGTTTGTTATTGAATTATGTTGCTTCATGCAGTTGACTTCACACTTGAAGAGCTCAAGACACTGCGACTGAAGCAGAGATACAAGTTTCGGGATCAATCATACAACGGTCAGTTCCCTCAATAGACAAATAGCCATTCAAGCTCATTACTATTAACTAAGCTTATTAGATTACTGTATCTTTTTCTAAGGGAACCACTGCCTTTTATAAATCTATAAAGAGAAAAAAACAAACATCAAATACTCCGTGTGAAATTTTCTGGTATATAAATCTATAAGGAGAAAAAAAAATCAAATACTCCGAGTGAAATTCTCTAGCATAAAGAACAAGTTGTGTTAGAAAATCCTTTCTTCACCTGCTGTTTTCTGAGAAACGTTTGTGAATAAAGAAAGATAGATCGGCGGCTTTGAACAGCCAAACTGTGTGCATATGTTTTGTTGATTTAATAGTGTGATATAAAGAATGATACAAATTTTGATGTCTAAATTTTAGAAAAACAGAAATTTTACCATCAAATCGTTGCCTATTGTTTTGGTCGAACTTCTATCAATAACCAATGAAGCACTCGAGGAATTCCGGTTCACTTGACAATGGCATTCTTATTTCAAAAGATGAAGAGGATTATGATAGTATTGTCATATTTCCCTTCCTATTTTAATTTCAATTTCTTCTCCCTGTTTTAGTATAGCTTTTGTCTCTCTTTTCCTTTTTACCCTTTTACTATTTTCTTGTGTTTTGTTTTCTGTCATCACCTCTTGTTAGTTGTTACCCTTGTCCTTTTGTTTATTTCCCTACTTCTGCACCTTGTCAGAGTGGGTGTGGAGATGGTAGGGCACTTTTTGTTGCAATTTAGATTCACCATGTGAGTTTGATTTTATTTTCTTATTTGGCTTAAAGCTTGTAGTTCCATCAGAAGTTGTCCCTGATTCTATAAGAACTTGTCCTTTGATCTTGTTGTATTTTTTGGCACTGTTTAAACTGTACGAAGAGAGCTTGTTGGAGCTTGAAAACAAGGTTTTTAGTGCATGGGAGTTAAGCAGCACTGTGATATGAGTGCATTTTAGAGATTATAGATGTCCTGTAGCACAGTGAAGTCCCTTTAGTGTTTAAGAAATGTAGAATGGTAGAACAATGGGGTCCTCTCTGTCCCTAACCTTCAGTCCAAAAGTGTGACACATGGTTTAGTGGAGAAATTTTCAGGGTTCAGAACTTCCTCTTGGGATTGAAGCTGAACTATCCAAAAGCAAAAGATAAAGGGCCTCTCTGAAGTTACCATTTTCATGTTCTTTTTTGTTTGTTCGGTTGCATTTTCATATTCCTCTTCTTTCTTATATCTTTTGGGCTACACAAGCAGGAGTTCCTCTTCTCTAATACAAATGTTTGGATCTAGAAATGTAGTGAATTGGCCTCCATTGTTGCCTTCCATGAGATCAGGGTCCTCATCACGTCCATTTAATGTAAAGCTGCCTCTTTTGTCGATAAAAAGGCCAACAATATCTTGAATAGATTGGCAAACTTTTAAGTCCTTAGATCTGTTCTAAGCTAGGATTACCTAGAACTCCATCCTGAGATAAAATTATAAGTTGTTGGCTTGTATGCAATAGCTTTTGATTTTATAGATTTATTAGTTTTTCACTAACAAAATGGTAACTCTATTCCCCTTACGAGTGACAAATTTGTCTATTTGAATGTGCTTGTTTTAGGATATTTCATCAAAAAGCAATTTGTAGCTACTTATCAAACATGAGTAGGATTACTAGGTGAAATCCTTTGCGAAATTCACTTTCTTGGTATAACAAATTAAAATTTATTCATAAACAAACTTGCTATATCGATAATCGATTCTTGCATTGAACATGCCACTCATTTATGTAAAATCTAGATAGATTTGACAGTTCATATTGGTAATTGTCTGAAGAGTGAGAGTCTAAACTAAAACTTTTTATGCAGTTCAATGCCATTTATTGAAATGCATTGAAAACACATTTCAAACAACATAAATATGTGTTTTCCATGCTTATACACTACTCTCACGCTTTCCTCTTAGCATTATAGGATTACTCCAAGAAGAATGCTTATAAGGCTAATAATTTTAATAGGCTGCCAATGGAGTAATGGTAAACCCTTCGGGATAAATTTCATGTTGGTAACATATTTGGCTGAACCATCCTGGGTTTTGTTGGATCCCACCCCTTTGAATTATCTTTAAAATGGTAATGTATAAGAAGTTAGGGCTATAATTTTGGAATATAGGATGTGCGTGAATTATTCAAAGC